GAGGTGCCAGTCAGGCCTCATGCTGGTATATAGATTGCGCTACCTCTCTATTTTAAAGTTACGAGTTAGTTGCTGCTTGCAGGAGTTACATGCGTTGCGTAGTCGCGAGACTTACGATGTTGCATTTCCTCTTCATCATCACGGTCAGAAGTTAGTGTTTGTCTCACTGTTCGCCTGCACGATGCGATGTTCTATTCTTGCAACGGCTCGTCCGCGTGGACTTTGTGGTATTGTGACTGCAAGCTGCTGCAGTACTTGAGCCTCGAGCTACAGTGTATGAATTTTTATGCACCCTCTATGCGAAGTGTCCGGAGAGTCATTTGTTCGGCCATCTGCAGATTTGACTAGGATAGCTGCATGCATAATCTCTGGTAACCTCAATCTATACATAGGCCTGACAGCGCAACGTATAGTACTTTTCGTCTTTCCCTATTCTTTCTGCTGAAAACACATCCCCGATTTCGTTTATGGCTTTTAGCGATATCTGCGTCGAGATTCTTAAACTAGTTATAAAGGATCAATTCGGAGATTTGGTAATGGTTTGCGGTGCGAGGCTCCATTTGCCGTACTTTGATGCTGTGAGTTACTCCAATGCACCATCAGTCTTGAATCTACTAACATATGCAAGCAAGAAAACACGAACATGAACGAAATCAGTCGCTTCGCTGGAACTTCAAATATTCATGAATGATATCGGTGCTATTTTCACGTTTTCGCGCGCTATCCATATGTTTACTCTATAAGATACTTTATTTTCGCAATGATTTCCTCGAACAAGTGGAGCATATCGACGAGAACTGCCACAATCAAGAGCGATAGCTCTCCTAGAAATATCGAAGAAGTGAAGGACTAGTCTCCGAATCTCAAGCTGCCTGTTTACCCACAAAGCAGCTGGCTTGCTGATTTGGACCTATAAACCGCTCAATCTTTCGATAATTCTGCTAAAGTCAAGCTGGCTAATGGTACAATACGATATTCTAATAGGATACCGATCGAGTGTGGTTGACTGCTGTGCTCGATTATCAGTATTACGAAATTTTGAAAATACGGGTGTAGAATGGAGGGCATTAGCCATCTTAGTCGCCGCCAAAGTTCCATACTGATCTTGAGGGAAAAGTGCTTGTGTTGTATAGCAGATATTGAGGATATCTCAAGCAAGTTCATAATGAACAAAGGAGTGTGCAAGTCAAGTCGTAGCGTTGTTTATTCTAAATGTAGTGCGGCTGTAGAGGAACATTCACAAGAGAGCTGTGAATCCGCTTTTGGTGGTTAAGATATTCAACATCTTTGAATCATGATGACAGGCCTTATAAAATCCATCGCTCTTCATGCAACCAAGTTCTACAACGAGACAATCAGCACCCAGGAATCAGAAGCCGACAGCAACTTCTTTTTCCAATAACAAAATACAATCAGATTCCGACTCTAAAAGCCAAACGTTGAGCAATAAGACAAACATTCCAAAACCATGGCAGACCTCTCAAGAGGCGAGGTAGGCCAGCTCATCGTACGAACGATCCAAAGCACCTTCTTCTTCAGCGGCATCGGCCTCATCCTATCCCGTACGCCCTCCCCTTCTTCCCCCTCTCGCCAACCAACCAACTAACCATTAGCGCAGTCCTTCAAGGCCAATCGCCCAGCCCCATCATTCCCACAGTATTCATCAATTTCCTCCTCGCCGCTTTCATCTTCGGCCTCCTCGCCACCTGCACCCACATCTCCATTCTGCTCGGCTTTCCCCATGAACTCGGCCCACACAAACCCAGATGGCTCTTCATATCCGAAGTTTTGCCTTGGTTTCTATGGTTTGGTGTTTCGATTGCGCTTTCGGTGCAGGTTGAGGAGCACAAGTGTATGAGTGCTTACACCGGAATGTGCGTGTTGGCGTTGCCGGTTGAGATTTTTGCGTTTTTGGAATTGTAAGTTCATCCTAGCTCTGGTTTTGATTAGGAAAGGAAGAGGAAATTGGCTGATGTGATGGTGTGAAGTGCGCTGACGACGGTAATGGTGATTTGGTTACTTGTAATCTGGGTGAGGCGTGATTGATGAGTGCTTGATGGATCGCTAGAGGATATGGTAGAGAGGTGTGCACTTCCACAAGAGTAGCTGGGTTAAAGCCTGATTTGAGACTTTGGGTAAGGTGTCGTTGGTATATGTTGGCATTTTTTTACACAGTTCGCATGAAGTCTGCTAAACTAGGATTATGAATATGCAAAGATCGTGAATCATGGAAGCCTATGTATGGACTATTCATCACTTCTGCACCACGATGAAACTTTAGCAATGAAGGAATAGTTTCTATGAAGAAAAGCCTACCTAGCATACAAGCCGTTTTATTATCAATGCCAAATGTCCAGGACAAGTTCAATCTCTCGTCCTTCTCCTTTCGTTCGTTTCCATCTCCCCTCCATTTTGTCCGCCACGTGATCACTTCTCAATGACATGCTTTCCCTCCGTCTTGTTCACCAACAGACTCAACAAATCCGGTCTCGAATACTGCCCCACAGGATCCAACAAAGTCTTCGAGTAATCGATATCCGAGAGCACAACATCAGCCTGCAAAATACCCTCCTCATCAGGCGCCAACGCCTCAACCAGCTCCCTCCCATCCGGACCATAAATCATCGCAAATCCTCCAGCGGCCTATACCCATTAGTCTTAAGTCCCCCAGCTGTGGAGAAAACAACTCACCTTATCGGTAACTCCCAACTCCAATAAGTGCATCTCATCAAGATGCTCTTCCTTCACAACCTGCGTACTAACAATGACAAACATCTGCCCCTCCAATGCCATGAACCTACTCGCCAACAGACTCTCTTCCGGACTACCTTGAGACGGCCACTCACTTCCCTTCGGCACCTCGAAGAATGCCGGCCAGGCGGCAACATGAATTTGTTCTCCTTGACTGTACTGATAATACCTCAGCAGCGGCTGGTAATGCTCAAAGCAACACAGTGCTCCAACCTTCCCGAAAGGTGAGTCAACCACTGATTTCAGGGAAGAGGCTTGGCCCTCGCCCCAGATCGTGCGCTCGACGTGCGTTGGCTTTATCTTTCGACGATGCGAGACGATAATCCCCTCGGGAGAGATAGAAGATTGAGCCATATACAGCGACCCGCCGTCTCGCTCACTGTAGCCCAGAACGACGAAGATGCCGGCTTCCTTGACAGCGGCTTTTATGGCGTCCATTTCGGGAGAGTTGACGGAGAGGGAGTTGGCCATATATTTGTGCACCATGGCGGTGTTTTGTGGGACGCTTTGTGTCCAGATATTCCTTAGAGACATGTTCGTTAGGGGACGTGAGAGATGAGAGGTGAGGGACTTACCATGGGTAGCCGGGAATCCAGACTTCGGGAAATCCGAGGACATTGATGCCTTTTTGGCCGGCTTCGTGGATGAGGTTGATAGTTTTTTGGACGGTACCTTGGAGATCGAGCCAGATGGGTTCGGCTTGGACAGCGCCGAGGCGGATGGTTGAGGACATTGTTGTGGGTGTCGATTCTAAGTCTTGAAGTAAGAATGAACTGTAGATTAGGTGAAGCTTGCGTATAATTTGCTGATTGTGCTTGTTGTAGTTGTCTTTTGCTGTGCTCTTCGTCTTTCAAGGCAGTGGAAATAGGATCATATATAACTAGAATGTCTACCGCCTCGCACAAGTCCTGTTCATCGCATCATCGCTAAGAATCAAACATCATCATTTCCCACTTCCCTCGCAGACTCAAAATGCTCCATGATTACAATTGCCTGCGAGAATCACAATGTACTAGAGCATCAACGAGGTGATCGATAAAGGAGCCTCGGACCCGCTTCGGCGAGAAATGACCAATGCCAATTTGTATCCATAGCGACGGGATTTGAAAGGGGTTTCAACAATGTTTAGTAATCAATGAAATGTGGGAGATCGAGAGGAAAGTTGGCATCCGCACTGCATATGCATGTGCGGGCCAGGGTCCTGAGCATCCGCAAAGTTCAAATAACAGTATCTGTTTTTGAAACAGACGATGCCGATCCTCATTATTAGATTCCGAGGTTCACCTTCGACAGGGAATCTGGCTTTCAACCCTTCTCAATTATACGTGACCAAGCAACATTTTGCTGCTTTCTAAACTCCCTAGGCGTCTTCAGCGACTGACGTAGAGAGCGGTATTCTAATCAGAACTGCAGTTCTGGGCTCCGAACGGGAGATGCAATATCATGAATTGGATCACCGCTCTGTGGACTGTCGTTATTCTGATATTCGACCTCGCCAATAAGAGTGCACGCCAGCTTAAAGAACACTCATTGCTTTCCTTCTGTGTACAATTCTTCAATCGCTGGACCTACTACGCAACCTAAAAGCTCTACCTAAGTATCTTTCAGAATCGAACTCACGTGACCTCTACTATACTGAAGGAAGCAGGCGTACCTTACTAGCTACCTACGATACGATGAGATAGCAAATAGTAAAGAACGTACAGGTTTGTAATGATGCTGCATTTGTTTCTTTGAATGGTTTTGTATCGTAAGGAGAACTTTTAATGAAAATATCGCTTCGCATCACGCGGAAATGACGAGGTTTTGACTTGGCACGAGTGTTCAGCACCTGAGCAAGAGTTGAATGACTACTTGTCATATCAAGAAAGAGATATTAGATACGTGTGACAAGAACAAGCTCGAAGAACTTTAGAGATACAGGTACCGGGGAGAAAATGCATCATGCGCTGCAGAAACGTAAATGAAAAAGGAATTCGCAAGCAGATGACAGAGCTGACAATCCACCAAGGCATCTTATTATGTAGGTGTAATTTTGAGCTCGAATTTCGGACAAGATGCAAAATGAACCTCGGTATTTAAAGTTTCAGGAGTTCGAGTTGCGGTTAGGTGCAGTCGAATACAGCCTAGTGAGAAGCGGCGCCGGCGGATATATTGATCCGGCTCAAGAAATGCCAAAGCCTGTATATATTTAAATAACTAATTTTCGTCATCCAGATCTCATCCTGACATCATGATGTCTATCCTCGGGGCAGTTAGATCAGTGGTAGTATCGCTCGCTTTGCATGCGAGAGGTCGTGGGTTCGATCCCCACACTGTGTAAGTTAAATTCTCGATATGTGAATCAGAAAGTTTACTAACAGCTTAAAAGCCATCATAAAATTCGACGAGTCAATTTTTTCCTATTTTTAGTGTTGTTTGTAGATCATTTACATGTTATTAGAGTAGCGGTTTGAATTTTGGCTGCGAAATCGTCTGTAATCTTTTTTGTGTTGGGAATTGCTGGGAGGTGTTAACCATTAAAAGGCTAACCGAGGACTAGGTAGTGCCTGTTCGCGGCACCTAACCGCAACGCGTCGAGGCCGGCTCGAGGCCGGACCAGAACATAACAAGAATGATATATTTTTTTATTGTATGATATGTAATCATGAAATTCAATTCTGCCTGAAATTGAACATGAACTTGAATTAATGGCCTTTTTTATCACAACCATTAACGTGTTATGATCCCAGCTCCGAGACAAATGCCGTAAAGATCGCTAAGGCACGAGAGCTTCCTCGGACAGTTCTCCGGAGCCCACTTTCTTCTCAACAACATCAACATGATTTTGAGACAAGGCGCTCTGCCTCTTGGGCTCCTGCTTCTACTCACACCTCAAGCCTCAGCATCATACGGTGATCGCCTGCCAGAATTTCGACATTGTGTCGAGGTAATAGTCACTTATCATGCCACCAAAATATACTGACGATTGTAGGTCTGCAAGCAAGAGAATTGCGCCAGCGGCCATGCAACTGCAATCCGTATGCCACCTCTCCCAATATCGCACCCTCCCTAACACTCTCCAGCTCTACTCCATCGAGCCCTCCTCTGGGACTGCCCTGCAGAATGCGATTACACCTGCCAACACATAATCACCGACCAACGCGTCGCAGCCTCTGAAGAGATCGTCCAATTCCACGGAAAATGGCCCTTCTACCGTTTCCTCGGCATGCAAGAGCCATTCTCCGTCTTCTTCTCCCTCCTTAATTTCCTCGCACACCAAAACGGTCTCTCGAAGATCACATCGAACATACCTGCTTCCTATCCGTTGCGAAAATACTACGTCATGCTGGCATATTTCGGAATGGTGAGCTGGGTCTTCAGCATGCTATTCCACACACGAGACTTCAAGATGACGGAGCAATTAGACTATTTCGCTGCTGGAGCGAGTGTGTTGTATGGGTTATACTATACACCGATCCGGATATTCCGCATGGATCAGGGAGGCGCGAGACGGAAATCCGTTTTGCGGGCCTGGACGGGGTTATGCATCGGTCTCTTCGTCGCGCACGTTACGTATCTGAAATGGTACACCTGGGATTATTCATACAACATGGCTGCGAACGTCGTGGTTGGGATCATCCAGAATCTAATGTGGAGTTGGTTCAGTTTTACGAAGTATACGAAATCCGGGAGGGCGTGGGCGATGTGGCCCGGTCTTGTGGTCGCGTGGATTCTGGTTGCGATGAGTTTGGAGTTGCTGGATTTCCCGCCGTGGTGGGGATGCTTAGATGCGCATAGCCTATGGCATCTCGGGACTGTGGCGCCGACGATGATATTCTATAAGTGAGTGGGATTTGGAAAGTTGGGTATTCTATGCTAATAACGTGTCAGTTTCCTGCTCAAAGATGCTCAAGACGATATGGCGGGGCAGCGATTGAAGGCATGATTATTGGCTAGGGATTGAACAAGCAGAATCCACAAGAGTAATATTGATGAGCGACACCAGCAACAAGAGAAAGTCGCAAATGAAAGACATTCTTGCCAATAACATCAAATCTGTTGATATTGCCAGTGGACGTGCAGCATAGAGAAATAACATCCATCAATTTCATATCAAGACAAAATATACCCAATACATCTGCAAGTACAGCCAGAAACCAAAGCGCCTCATCCCTCTCAATATTCATATATAACATATCTCAAACACACAACCTCTGACGCAATACCTCAACCTACAACGTCTCATCCCCTCTAACATTTTGTTGCACATCGACCCGCAAGCAACTACCGCATTCGTCCTGGAGCCTCTCCCAACCTCAGAAGAAACCGTAAACCGTAAACCCCAAAAAATCCCGCACCCATGCTCAGCCTCATCCCCGATTTCCATCACCAAATAATATCCACTCCCACCTCCCTAAATAACCCACCCCTCCAAAAACGCATCAAAGCGAGCGAGCGAGAAATGGTTTGTTGCACATCGCTATTTGGCATCCGCATTGAGTTTCCTCTTCGGGAGCGATGATTCTTTTTGCCTTGCCTTGTGTTTGTTGTCCATCCCCGTTCCCGTTGCTGGCTGGCCTTGCCACTTGGCGGAGGCGGATGCTGATGGTGGAATGGGATGGGTGAGGTAAGGTTACGGGGTGAGATGATTTGGCACGGGATGGTGTGACTTGTGGTTCGCTCTCGCCCTCGCCTCCCTAAATTGCCTGTCTGGCTGCCTCGCCTATTTTAACCTTAGTTTGCCTTGCGCTCTGCTCTCAGCCTCTCACGGGAGAAGAGGATAAATTCTATTCTGGCCGTGGTTTCTTGCGGACAAGTGTCACGCCGCTAAAGGCGAGATTTGAATGAATGGCCTGATTTGGGATTTCGATTACTGGATGCGGGGAATTTTTTTTTCATTTTGTGTTTGGAATGGGAATTGGAACTGGAAGTGGAAGTGGATTGGGAAGGAGGGGAATTGCGGTGGAGGCGTTTGTTGCAGTTCGCATCGCGAGTACATGCCGCTTTGAGCGAGGGTGGTTTGGTTGTGGCGATGTTGAATTTGGGGAGTTGTTTGCGATATAGATGGTAATGATGGAGTGCATTTAGGTTCTTTTAGGGGTTTGAGGTTGGCGTGTTTGCGATTGATGGTATCGTGATGGAGCTGCCTTTTCGTCAAAATCGCTTTGCCTTTGGTTTCTCGATGTTCTGATTCTTTCGCCATCATCTTCACAATTATATTGTGCTTGTTTTGCTCATTTGATTCATCTCGTTCATCGCTTTCTTCTCTGCTGATATCAAATATCGCCAGTTTCTCCATTTTTTCAACAAGCCTGCTCCGCAAGACGCTCAACAACCTCGTCCCCGCGGGCATTCCATTTCATTTCAAATCGCTCGAATCTCTGCCTCCATTCCCCGTATTCAACAACTTTTCGTTATGCTTTGCTAGATTCTAGAGTGAAGTGTCACTTGGGGTTCCGAGATTACTTTTCGACGAGAATTTCTCCTTGCAGCATGGCCAAGGTTCCATCATCTCTCTTCGCCCACTCCTCCCAAGCCTTGGCCATTTCTTCAAAATCATCCTCAGTACCCAGGCTGAACTTCAGGGCTTTCTCGCGCAAACCACCTCCTCTGAGCTGATCACACAACCCCTGGGCTAGAGAAAACACAGCCATTAGAGCCATCATCGCAACCACGAGAAGCAGAGATAATGAAACTTACAGCAGATTTTCCTCTCGCTTGGTGTATTGTACGACGATGTACTATAGCTGAGCGTAATCTGACTCCGCTCCCCACCAGCTTTGAGTGCCCAAGAAAGCAGTTGTCGGCCTGCAGTTGGAGTGCCGCCGCCAGACCTCATAAGGCCCGCCATAAGTGTATGGAACTTGTCCAAGTCAGGAAGTTCTGGCCAGATACACTCGGTCTCGTAGTCACCCTCGCGGGTCGCAACGATGCCGCCTCGCTTTGTTACTCTCAGCATTTCACGCAGCGCATCCCACGGGGTCCCAATATGGACCAGCACCTGATGACAAAAGGTAACATCGAACGTCTCATCTGCAAATGGCAGCTTAAAGATACTGCCCTGTTGAAACTCGATGTTTTTGACACCGGCTATTTCAGCGACAGCTCGTGCTCGTGGTAAGATGTTGGGGTTGAGGTCGATACCGGTAACGTGGCCGTCGGGGATGAGCTTGGCGAAACTCACAGAGATGGTGCCTGAGCCAGAGCCGACGTCTAGGAGCTTCAAATGGGGGTTGGATTCTTTCATAGAGTGTAACTTGGGCAGCAAATGGGCAGCGCTGTTTTCGGCGGTCCGCACCTCGTGGAGTCTCGCTTGAGCGGGTGGGTAGGCTGGCTTCTGATCTTGCTCCATTTCTATTACTGATGGACGGAATCAGAGAAGGATTAATATCTAAGTAGACTCAGGAGATTTCTCATAATTTAAAGTTGTAAATGCTGGAATATGAAACAAGAGCTCTACAGAGGTCCCCCAGGGCGAAAGAAGTGCACACCGCCTTCGCCTATTGTATACCTACCTCTTAGGCAACATGATTTGCTAGGTGGCAGAATAAGGCGGTGAGCACTTCTTTCGCCCCAGTACCTCTTCTTCCCGGCACGCGCTACTCGTGCTACCTCGATATCCTCAAAGCTTATCATCTTTCCCTTCCTCAGTGCAATTAATTTAAATAATTGGCGAACTTTATTTTCGTTGTTTAATTAATATTTGATTTAAACCACGGAGGAGAGCAATTTAGCAAGGGATTTTATTTTTCAGCGGCATAGCACAACCATCTAAACAACTCACTCATCGACACATCGCAAATCCATTTCAAGCATCAATCTTCGTAGTTCCTTCCCATGCCTCACATCATCCCAACGAAACTTAGTAACCTAAAACATTATTTCATATTCCCTATATACAAAGTCATCCATCCCACCTCCTCACCCCACCTAACTTCTCCCCTCCCTCAGTCTCAGAAATAAGTATACTCCGCCTCATACCCAGGCACGAAGTTATGCGGACACGGCACAGCTGGTAAATAGTTATCAACAGTGATATTTTGCATGGCGAAATAGTGTTTCCTGATTGTGCTGATTTGGGTATTGCTCTTTGCTGTATTAAGAGGATTGCCATATTGAAGGGCGAGGCCATCGCTGTGATTTACGAATTTCTGTTTTTGTTAGCATCCTTTTCGTCTCATTGAAGCGTGTTGCCCGAGGGGACGAGATAGCCAAAAATGAGAAGAGGAAGGATCGAAGCGGAGAAATAGACGAGGATGAAAGAGGGAAGAGGTGAATGACATGCTCACAGTACAATCCGGTACATCATGTGCAAATAAACTCCAGAATGTACTTCCTAC